TTAGGATTGTTAATGACTCTTTTGGCCACCCTGGAAAAGCCATGTTCCAGCTTCTTCCCTCTGGCAGAAGATATCGCTCTCTGAGATGCAGGACATCTCGTTATGCTAACAGTTTTTATCCACAAGCTGTTATCAGTGTGAACAGAGCACTTTAATGATTTGCACTTGTTTTGAAACTGTTTTAGTCGATCGATTTCACAGTGACATTTGTTTACTGTTTTATTTGTTTTATTTTTGTCTTTGTTTTTTGTCTGTATTTGTCTGTGCACACTGGAGACTTTTCGCTAATGCAGGGTTTCTCAAACTGGGGTACGCGTACCCCTAGTGGTACGCGGGCGCCCTCTAGGGGTACGCCAAAGAATCTGTGAATTTTTTTTTTTTTTTTTTTTTTTTTAAATTGTACCAGGAAAGTCCCATTGAGATTAACTCATTGACAGCCATGGATGTCATTTGAGGACAACATTGTTTTTCAATCTTTTCCTGTCAGTCTGTGTCCCCTGTATCATACAGTCTGGGGTTTGGCTGTAGACAGTATTTTATTAAGCCAGCAGGTGGCAGCAGAATTCCCTGGTTTGGTCAAAGATCACTCTGAGCACTCTGAGCAGGAGAGACAGAGGTGAAGCAGACATGGAGTAATATAGTCAGGGTCAGGCTACATTTGGAGGCAGTTTGAGCAGTAAATGTGTCTCCAGAGCTGACAGAGACCATGTGGAGGGTCCTAGCAGCAGACCATGTGGAGGGTCAGGACAGCAGACCAGTGGAGCACCTCAAAAAAGCCACAGAAAAGTGGACTATTGCTAAAATTATCACTGAGTCCACACCAGGAGCCAGCAGCAAAGTCCAGATATGGTCACAGCGCACGCCGGACTAAACAGACGCTCTGTAGATGTAACCACATAAAAACACACAAACGCGTGCATAAACGCACATACATGCACGCCCAAACACACAAAGACACACAGCAGTATTCTGTTGCACTTATACTATACTATAAGTATAAGTATTCACTTTGATTTATTGTCATGTATAGTGTTTATCATTGTAATTTTGTTATTCTTTGATTTACTCTTATTGACATAAATATAGCGCCACCTAATGGATGAATACTGGCCATTCTATCTGGCATAGTTTGTCATGGGCTCTACTTTCAATATGTACATTTTGACATTTTTTGGATGAGTACATTTTGAAATTTTTGAGCAACACTTTGTGGATGTGTGTGTGCCATAAAACTTATTATTTTACATTAAAAACACTTTCTCAAAACGTGTTGCTGTTTTCTAACATGTAAGATCCTGTCCATGTTTGAGGAGATGCTAAAGTTAAACTAAATAGTTTTACAATCACTTTTCTGCAGGTTCGTCTGTTTTCACAAAAACCTCATTTTCTAATTTTTTTGTCTAAGACTGGTGCTTTTTGTCACACTCTCCTCTTTTCGACTGGAGATCACAGGACAACAAAACAAACTAAGAACAAACTTCTTTTTGCTGCTGAAAGTAGACAGTCCAGTCTTTCAGACTCTGGTTTCATATTTTTCATAGCACACAATATTCTGTGAGTCTTAAAAATCAGTGAAGTCATCAAAAAATGGCTGGCAGTCAATGAGAACCTCTTTTTCGTGTACAAAAATTACATAAAATTACAGATGATAAAACAGTCAAATACAGATGATAAAATAGTCACATACAGATTATACAACAGTAACACACAATTTCATAAAATTACGGATTATAAAAACAGTTACATTTCACTGAAGATGTCTCAATCTGGATCTAAAAGCATTCAAGGAAATAAGATCAGATCATTTCTAGTCTTTTTGTAACACGTTCCATGTAGAAGGAGCAGTTTTTTCCCCAGTTCTGTGCAAACGGAACAGAGAGCAACAAACGATCATTTGATCCAAACCATGAGAACATGTCTCTGTGAGTAAACGACAGATGTAAGAGGGCAGCAGAGCAAGCCTTAGAAACTAAAGTGCACCAGAGTCCAAACCTTCTGTGGACAAAGATCCCACTCCAGAATATCACTCACAGTGAGGCTTTGCAGTTCGCAATGAATGAAACATTTAAAACAATTTTTTTTCTTATATTTAAGCGCAGTCTTACTGTTGAAACTGTGTAAAATATTACATTAAATATACTTCTTTAGGAATGAAACCTCTGCCTTGTTATTGATGAATACTTCGGCTTACTACGCTACTGTGTGGTGTGGTCATTTGTGGTGGTACTTGGAGAGGCAAGTATTTTCTGAGGGGGTACTTGGTGTGAAAAGTTTGAGAACCTCTGCGCTAATGTATTCCAATGTGGTGTTTTTACTGCAAATGGCAAATAAACTGAATCTGAATCTGAATCTGACATCTAATGACAGGGAATAATACCCTCAAAGCCAGTCCCTTTTCTCCTCAGAATTCCTGCAAGAGGCCAAACAGAGTCTCATCCACTTATAACATTATTTTAGTTTCTAATGCAAACTCACTATAGTACATGTTAATCTAAGTCAATGTCCATAATTTTCCATTATTTGGAACTTTTCTTTTGACATGATCACACTGAACTAATGGACAGAGAATGGACTTACCGCTGCTAATGGACCAGCATGATCCGGACGACCAGCAGCAGAGCCACCACCGCTGGGCTTCACACAATATTCACATTTAAACTCTGCAGCAGACAGACATCAAAACCAATTTCCACTTTGCAACCGGACAATTAGTGCTACACAAGTGCTAAAGCGCTAAAGTGGCCCACAGTGGATTGTAACAAATGTATTTCTGTGCGAAACCTTAAAGTAGCCCCTGGTTTAATCAACAAAAACAAGAACCTTACCCTTCTAACCCTTGATTAGATTCTGACTCAAAAGTAAAGCGATTTGAATGTGTGTGATAGAGCCACCTTCATAGAAATCAGCTTGTATCAGATTTTAATTATAAGGCAAGGCAAGTGTATTTGTATAGCACAGACAGAAACATGAAATCCCACAAGCCATTAAGATCATAAGTTATCATTATGCATTAAAATAAATGAAGAAATGTAGGGTATTTTCACAATGGTCTCTATCCCTATTTGTGATTATGTATTTTGTATTCCAATTTTGAAATTGGTAGCTCGTTACAATGAATAAGGTTACATCTCTTACTGTTTTTGTGAAATGAAGAATAAAAAGTTGGTATACAAATTATTATATGTTACGGTTATATGTGGCGCAGGGTCCGAAAGTTGTCAAGTTTAGGTTTGTCAAACTGATCTGCAGCACAACTGGGAAAATAATCAAAAGAATATTTTCAAAAGCAAAACCCGGCGATTACAAGACGCTGGGCTGATGAAACACTTGCTCCTCGCTCATGTCAGCTACAGATTTACTTACAGCTCTGTGCTTTCTTGCAGGACTCTTCTATTGCGTTGTTTGTTTGTATGGCTAAGTTGCGAGGGGTAAAACTCTCTTCTTCTTATCCTCCGCTGATCAAAACATATCATTTGACACATCCTTGCACACACACATGCATGCAGGGGTTGTCGTTAGCGGCAGAGCTATGTTTAGCTGCCGGGAGCTGCCTGGATGTCCCCTCAGCCTGTCAGGAGCCGGAGCCTCTCCCACTCACAGCACTGGGAGAACACAGCCCACAGTGTGGCTTTGTAAGGACTTTGAATGACTGCTATAAGGTTACCCACACAACCATAGACATAGTTTTTTTGTCTCTCATCCCTATTCTAATTGGTGCAATGTGACACTACCCTATCCACTGAAAAAGAGGGCTCTGGGAACAGCCCTGCCTCGGTAACACAGAGGCATTTGACCTAGATTGTGACTTGTGTTTTGGTTATGATGGTTTGTGGTGTTGACAGCCTTCCATCAAGATGGGAGAGGGATTTGTAATGTCATAAATATGTATGAGGAAAGCGTCAAAGCAATGTTAGAGCTGTTGATTCAGATCAGAGAAGAACATGTGACAGTGGACTAAAGTAGTGGATAGTTTGGAGTATGTAAGTAATAGTGTGTGTTTTAAACATACAATAGAGAAGCTGTAATCTGCTGCCAATGTTATATGCATATACCGAGTGACTGTATAAAGAAAGTTGATGGGGAGGCAGAACCTACATCTTTCTGTTTCTTCAAGTTAAGTGTATAAGGGATTAAGTTGAACTATAACATGGTTCAACTTCACCCCTCAGCAGGGTCGGTGCAGAGTGGAGTACAGCTGGTGGATATGGGGCTCTTGATTCCAGGACATGCAGGGTATGCTTACCCTCTGTTTATGTCTATTATATCGAGTTTGGTCTCTGGTTGTAGTTTGTGTAGTTAAACCTTCGCCCTTCTGAACAGAGCTGGATCCCTAGCCCTCACCTGAACATTTTGGAACAACACTGTATCCAAACAGTGTTGGAACAACACTGTACAGTATCTAAACACAAATAACAAGAGCCATGGCTCCTTTCAGGCTCTCATTTTCCTGTTTCGATGTAAAAGGATATGCAGGAAATTAGCTCAAATTCACAACTTTAAATCATTAGGCCCAGGCCTCAACAGGGTTGAGGGCCTATTGCTTTCCCAACGAGTAATGGCTGGTCAAAATCATAAAATCTCTCAAATGTAGAACTTGCACAAACAACAAACCAGCCTCGGCCATTTCACAAATTTGGCTGAAATTCACTCAACATCATCTAAACACATGTAGGATCAAAAGATAGCAACAAAATTTAGATTACTCCAATGGTCTGCGCGCGGCATACTCGCGAATTGTGCTTATTTTCATAGTGATGTGTCAAGTTCCCATGTTATCCAACGGAGACTGTATACATATGGACAAACACAGATTATACTGTACATGAGCTCCTGTCGGCACAAAAAAGTCTGATTTGCACTAAACTTGACTTGGTTGTTCAACTCCTGACTTTCATTGTTCTATGGCTACTAGAGTAAATAATGGCGCGTCAGCGTCACCTTCTTTGCGCTGTGTGGTGACGGTAGTCTGACACAGCTTTAATTTTCTTTTGTCTTTGCAGATTTTCCAGATCGCATATATCATCATAAAAGCTGCTAACTCCCCGCGGCCAGGTCAGAAACACACAAACACAAACGCACATTCACATACACAACCACTGGCGTGCACACACTTGCACGTACACACATGCACACACACACACACACACAGTCTGATGTTGACCTGACTTGGTTGAATCAATGGTTGTCAAACTTCTGCGCTGACCTTTACTTCTGCTCCTCCCTCAGGAAACTGGGTCCTACAGCGGTCGCTCGATGGTGTGACCTTTGATCCCTGGCAGTACTATGCTATAACTGACACAGAGTGCCTGACACGCTTCAATATCACCCCCCGCACGGGCCCCCCCTCATACACCCGTGACGACGAAGTGATCTGCACCTCATTCTACTCCAGGATCCACCCCCTGGAGAACGGAGAGGTAAACACACTGCTGCTGGGATTTTGGCCTATTCCTCTTGCTTGCAGAGCTTCTCCCTCTATGTCTAAGGGAGCAGCCACTCTGCAGAGGAAACTTATGAGGACCGCTTGTATGCGTGATCCTTTCGGCCTTTTCCCAAAGCTCATGACCATAGCTTAGCAGCTATAGCAGAACCATAGCAGAAAACAGTTTCCACCTCCATTCTACATGGTAGATCTGGTTTTCTTATTCCTCTAATAGTTGAGGTGTACCTATGATGAACATTACAGACATCTCTCATCATTGTCAAGGGGGGGACTTGAAAATCGGCAGCTGACTGTGAGCAAGGCCACAATAGCACATGTTCAAGCATCACTGTGTTACTCTCTGGATGCGGTACAGTGTTTGATTTCAAAGAGAAAGTTTAATCTATGCTTCTAATGCAGGTGTGTCCAAAGGGCCACTTTAGTTCACCTGACTTGGTGATGGCAGATGAGCTGTATAGAAAAACTGGATTTTGTCTAGTGATCCAGTTATGACAGGATTCAGGGTTCTGAGCTTTAAATGAGACATGACATGTCCACAATAATTTACATCTGACAGAGCTCAAGTTTGCTAAATGTGAAACCTTTATTTCTACATGAGTCGTATGTGCAGTTAGTGCCACCATTGCAAACAGATGTTGTTTTAGTAATTTTTTAACTTCAAAATGAGGTCTGTGTTGGAGGAGTTGTAGTTGGCTGGATGATACTGAGTGCATGTTTTATGATTGCAAAGGATAATTTTGTGTTAGCAAAGCAGGGGGCCAAAGAAAATTAGGCTTAAAACGATAATAACAATAATATTGATACAACTTTACACAGTAACCTGATTGACCTGAAAGCCTGTTTATTTAAGTCATAATTAGCCATTCTTAAATTTCACCACCATCCACACATGTCGCACTCACTAAAGCGACATGTGTGAATGGTTGTGTACAGTTGTGTGTGTCTGTGAGTTGTGTGTGTCTTTGTGTACGGTTGTGTGTTTCTGTTTAGTTATGTACAGTTCTGTGTGTCTCTGTACAGTTGTGTATCTTTGATCCGGCACCCTAAGCTTTCTAACTGACATTAATGAAGAGAAAAACAAACTCTGTGCACACACGTGTCTTCTAATATTTTTTGAAGCCTTTAATGTGTGAGCCATGTGTGTGTTTGGGATGTTGGGGTGAGGAGGTGGAGTGAGAATGGGGAGTGAGGAGGGGGAGTGAGCTGGAAATGTCAGGGTCTGCAGCTCATCTGCTTCTATGCCACATATAGCTCTTACTTCTTTGTGGATCTTCAAAACCTGTTCCAAAAACTACATACAGTTTTGCCTAAAAGCAAAATGTTATTAATGTTAGTGGTTGTGTGAAGCTTTTTACTGTTTTGGTTAAAAAAAAGTGTTTTCTGTTTTAAATTCATTACATAATTGAGCTCAAATGTGCAGTTAATACAAGGCAGCCCAGGAATTTACAGGAACTGGAGGATATTTGCCAAAAAGATCTTTTACCAGCCTTACCATCAGAGGATATCAGAGAGACTGAAACTATAGTGAGACGAGAAAGTGTGCTCCTTATGGAGCCATTGCGCCATAAGGAGCAGATGACCAATGTCTATACATTTTGATACATTTTGATAAATAAATATCGTCACGGTATGTTGACATGGTTGTGCATAGAGGCTAATATTCACCAGGGTTAAGTTTCTTGTTTTTGGTTGTTTGTGAGTGTTTAACTCACTGGCACTCACTGGCACAAACATGTATCCATCTCCTGTCTCAAATCAGAAATATAATAGTATGATGTATTTGTAAGACGTTGATGAGTGACTGCAGTGTTCATAAAGGCTGAAGAGTTGATTTCAATTATTGAGCGCGTGAGAATAAGGCTCAAAAGGAATCAGCAAAAGCATTAAAACACTTCTATGACTTTCCCCCTTTAACATACTCAATCATTGTCATGTAACAGTTTCAGCTGGAGAAGTGCATATGGTGAGTATGGCTCAAAAAGGATGGAAAACGGTTGGCAACAACTCCAAAAATCGTTTTTATTGCAATGTACAGCACTTCTCTCAACAATCCTGAAGTATTGAATTTGCTATAGTCATTGTTGTGACAGGACTAGCTACTTTAAAGTTACTTCATTCACTTGTTATTGAGTGTAGCTGGTAGTTTTCCCGTTAATTGTATCTCTTTCTTCTGTTTGTTTTGTATGGATTTGTCAGCCTGACTTTTGCACCTGCTCTGGCTGTCGCCTGCTCCCTGTCATGATCCATCTGCCTCTCCCGTATAGATCCACACTTCATTGATCAACGGGCGTCCCAGCGCTGATGACCCTTCCCCCGCTCTGCTGAACTTCACCTCGGCACGCTACATCCGCCTGGTGCTCCAGCGAATACGGACCCTCAACGCGGACCTCATGACCCTCACCCTCCTCGACCCCAAAGAGCTCGACCCTATTGTGACACGCAGGGTGACACATACTTTCACAGCTCACAAACATGTCTCCCACTTTTACAGAAACTGAACCTGGAACAAACTGGTCAGGGTTAGGGTTAGAGAGAGATCAGAGAGAGACGAGAGAGACAGAGGCCAGAGAGAGACCTGAGAGAGAGCAGAGAGGCAGAGACCAGAGTGAGAGATCAGAGAAAGAGATCAGGGAGAGACCAGAGAGAGAGACCAGTGAGAGAGACCTGAGAGAGCGAGAAGGACAATTGGATGAAAACATATGAACGTACATAATCCAGGATGGAGTGCACAGTGTTCCTGATTTTGTCTATTCAAAAGTAGCTGTTTGTTTTGTATAATGATCACTATTGTAATATAAATATATTGGTGTTTTGACACGAGGAGTTAAACCATGCACACTCCCAACTCCACATGAATCCAGGGCAGGTGACCCAGTGTTTGCAGAAAGTCATTATTTTTGCACATTTACCTTGAACAGGTCCAATTTTCTTTTAGCTCAACATAAAAATGAACAATTATACTCTGAAAATGACATTTTGATTTTGTGCTGAATCACATTCATCACACAGGACAAAGCAGTGTTTCAGAAGCTCAAATCTTTTTATCCGTATCCAAGGTTAACGCCTTTTCACAGAGCTCAACTTAATTGTTTGAGTGCTTCCTCGCCGCTGGTCTAAGGACAGTGGTGAGCTGGGACATTTATGACCATTTATTAACATGTATGGACAGTGGTGTTCCCACTCCTTATGGACCAATCGCTCCTATTGGTCCGCAGGTCTCACTCTGGTCTCTCTCTGGTCTCTCTCTGGTCTCTCTTAAGTCATTGGCCTCTCTCTCTGGTCTGCCTCATATTGTATACTAGGAACCTAAGGGTACATCACGATACGATACGCAATACAAAGCTCTATATGGCATACATAAAATAGAAAAAGTGAAGTGAAAAAATACACTTTATTTCATGATAAATGTAATTGAGATGTGTAATGTATTTTTTTTTTTTATCGATACTTGGCAAATGCATATCGATAATCGATCGCGGGAGAAAGTATTGCAATACATCGCAAAATCGATATATCGTCACACTCCTATTGCAGCAGCAGACGGTTGAACTCACCTGTAACATCCTTGTGTTCTGTGTCTTTCAGTACTACTACTCCATCAAGGACATCTCTGTGGGGGGTATGTGCATCTGCTACGGCCACGCCAAAGCCTGCCCGCTCGACGTCCAGACAAAGGTAGCCATCCAAACCTGCTCTCCTCCTTCTGCAGCTCACAGTGGACATAATGGAGGCTTCTCCTCTTTCTGAAAGCAGAGACTGGCCCATGGCAAGAGCTTTTCATCCACCTGGCTCTGTGTGTGTGCGTGTGCGTGTGCACATCTCTCTGCCAGGGACACAGGTGATGTCGAAGGAACCCTTTCTCAAATGTCACTTCAAACAGAGGGGCGTTTGATTGGAGGCAGCTGATCTCCTGGTAGCTACACAGGTTTTCACACTCAGACACAGCACAGAGAGGGAGGTGTCCTTCATATGTCCCCCAGGCTGATGGGCGAGACTACCTCAGACCTGACACTGGGGTCTGGCCCCAGGGTGGTGATGTCAAAGGAGGCAAGAGGAAGTCTTCTTTATAGGCTCATTGGCCCATTTAAAGATAGAATTTGTTACAATTGCAACCTGTGAAAATAGGTTAAATGTACTCTTTGCAACTTGTAGACAAACCCATATCTCAGTGATTTTTAATACAGCATATTCTTAGTACTCAGACTAAGAATCATAGGCTGTATATTAGATAGATAGATACTTTATTGATGCCCTGTAGGAGAAATTCAGGTGTCCGGTAGCAGAAGACTTTTTTTCTTTTTATTTTGTACAGTCAGTCAGGTTTATTGTACAGTCTGACAGCGATTAGGAGCGGACTGACCAATGTTCCTCACTGCCACTTGCCGTGCCCTACTTTTTGAGAAGAAATACCCTCGTGGGATTGGAACTTAATCTTACTAAATGATATTTTCCACTCCTCCACATTTTGACCTCAACTCAGTCTGAAATAATGTACAGTATACTCAACATAGTATGCAGTATATTCAACTCTCAATTGTAGTTTAGCTAAACACCACCAATGTGTGTGTGTGAGAGTGCTACATTATAATGTGCTGCTCAGGGTTGTGACCACTAAAACTAACTTGCATAATGAGTACGCCGTCAATGCAAAGATATTGTTTTACCACATTCTAACACCCACACCGTTTTTATTTTTCTTAAATGGATAATAAGTTATACACTCGCCTGGTAATTATAAATTCCACAGCTCACACCCATCACACATGTACATGTGAACGGTTCAGACCAGCAAAGTTCCAGACAGAGAAGGAGATGGGGGCCTGACAGAAGAGGAGGAGGTGCTGGATGATTTGTTAATGAACTCCTTCTCAGTGTTGGGGATGGTGCTCAGCACAACAGCAGCCTGGAGCCACGGCAGCAGAGAAAACAGCCCAAACTCTCTCTTCTCTCTTGCTTCTCTCTCTCTTCTCTCTCGCTCATCTCTCGCTCCTATCTCTCTCTCTCTTCTCTTGCTCCCCTCTCACTCCTCTCTCCCTCTCTACTCTCTCTCTCTTCTCTTGTTCCTCTCGCTCTTCTCTCACTCCTCTCGTTTTTCTCGCTCTTCTCTCTTTCCTCTCTCCTCTCTTGCGTCTCTCTTTCTCCTCTCTCTCGCTCCTCTCCACCCCTCGCTTTCTGAAGAGACAAACGTGGCTCTTGTTCTCCCGTTGTACTCTGCTGGCAACCCTTCCACTGTCACCCATCTAGAAATTTACACAAAGGCCTAAATTGAATGACTAGACTACAACTGGCATGTTTCCAGCTACAGTCTGCATGTAGTTTTGAATTTATTCGGCTCCTGGGGGAAAGGTAGTGATCCCATTTGCCACTGGCCGATGTTACGGAGCTAAGCGAGACTTGGCAGCGTGTGAATACAGCTTCGTCTGATAGATTTTCAATAGGTCTTGCATATTGGCCATTACCTGTTTGTAGCGATCCATTTATACTTTGATAAGAATGTGCTGATACGGCACTCATTACCTCAGGGTTTTGTTTGCATCACATAATTTATCATAATGTTCATTAAAGTGCTCCTGTGGATTAACAAGCCAGAGATAAGCACTTTCTCTTCCATGACGTACTGTTATTAAACCCAGGAATTCTGTAATGGCTCATTGGGATTGATTGCAAAAAGTTATTGGATTTTTGGGACATTTAATTATTCAACTCGGACTGAGCTTTCATTTCACGCAACTGAAATAACATCACAACAGTTTAACATGGAAGCCAGCTGAAAAATATTTGCTGGTAACTATGGAAAGTGGCAAAAGTAAGAGATGTTCTTCTAGTCTGTTGATAATTATTATCTGTTGATTGTTGTATTATCTGTAATTCCTAGAACAATAAAACTGTGTCAAAGTCCTATCTTCTTTGTCAGTACGTGTCAACTATGAACTCAATATTTTATCTCTCGATCTCTCTCTCTGGTCTCTCTCTGGTCTCCCTATGGACTCTCTCTCTTGTCTCTCTATGGTCCCTCTCTGGTCTCTGCGGTCTCTCTCCCTGAGCTATGTCCCTAGTCTCTCTCTGGTCTCAGCACCACCATTATGGTGTCATTAGTTTCTAGAAGGGGTGACAATATTCAATAACATGTGCATGATGTTGGCCAGTAGAAGGGACATTCAGACACACACAACCGTGGCATTGAGAATCTCACTGGTGTCTCTATGGATCACGTTGTGAATCTAATCACTATGAAATAATGATGGACAAAATTTTGACATTTAAAAAAATACTTCTTTCTCATAGAGTTGTTTTGGCATCTGCCCAACATATGCTGAAATAGTATTTTAGAACAAGTCCATCTATTGTATAACTCATGTCATACATGACTTTGTTGTCTTTGGGAGAAACCCCATCCACACTGAGCCTTTCTCTGGGCTTTGGATTTGAATTAATTCTAACCGTGGCTTCTATAATGTCTCCTGCAGAAGTTCAGCTGTGAGTGCGAACACAACACATGTGGGGAGAGCTGCGATCACTGCTGCCCGGGATTCAACCAGCAACCTTGGATGGCAGGGACCTACATTACACGCCACGTCTGTGAAAGTATGTATGCTGGACCATACATGTACCATACACAATTCACTTTTAGATCAGCCATTCCCAAAGTCAGTAAAATGACTTAAAAATCTGACGGGTCTGCGCGGTCCCTCGAAATACTAACCAAAAAGACAACATTAATAATATGGTCTTCTCGTTATTCTATCTGGGGGAAATAGCCACTGCTACAAACATGTAAATGACGCACCCCATTTTGTAACAAAAATGATTACAATTTGATTATTCAAGTCAAATAATAAACACAAACATTTTAATTTTACAAAATATGATTCATTTAACATACAATAATTATAAAAAACATTTTTTTTATGACCTCTCACGACCCCCCTGCAATACCCTCGGGCCGCGGACCCCACTTTAGGAGACACTGCTTTAGATGATTCTGACACCTGTAGTACACAGGCCCATATGGCTACACAGAGGTAGACATGGTTGACAAGCATTATTATCAATCAAACAATCAAGATGTTATTTTCTAAACCTGCAAAAACACTATTTCACAGAACATTTTAGAGTATATGGACCACCATGGCATGTTATACATCATTATAAAACTTATATTAAACTTTTAACCATTATACAACTAACAATAATAATAATGGTCTATGGACAAGCTTTTCTTATTTTTACTGCAGTCCAAGAATGTACTCATGTTGTGTTGAAAAAGTGAAATAAAAGCAATCATCACATAATACAATTACATAGATAAACAACCAGAAATAATATATTTTGCGTTGTCTGTGCTGCTTGGGGATACACAGGGCAAAACAGATCAGAACCATAGATCTTCAACATATAGATGGAATTGTTTTATTTATTAGGAATGATCAGAACAAACCCCTCCCCCACTCATAATTTAGTTGAAACCCAATTCAATGTATTTGTTCATAAATGTCCCAGATCATCAGTGTCCTTAAACCCTCCTGCATCTGCAAGGAACTACTCAAAAACCCAGTGGTCATATTGCGAGAGTACAGGCTGTAGTGTGGCATAAGGTGCCGCCCACAGTCCGTCCCGGTGCAGGCAGTCCACAGATGCAGGTAAAAGAGGCCTGGTTCAGGGGTCCCATCTTCACGCCATGAAACAGACAATGCAACAGCGGGTGAATAGGAATTAACAGACTACAGCTAAAGTCATGATAATGACAGACAAAGTAGGTGAGAGGAGAAGATATAGTTTTTTGGTTATGTGTCTCTAAGTCCTACCTCCCAAGCCATAAGCTAAATTCAAGACAGTCTGTAATTATTTCCAGTCACAAAACAAAGCATAATTTCTTTCAAAATGATATGAAAATCATTTCATCAAGCAAGCTTTCTCTTGTTTTAGGATACATTTCCATTGGAAACCTACAGTTTGCTGACCTCCCTTGTACATGCGCTATTCCTTTAGACACTAGTGAAGTGGCCTTGGGTGCTCCACATTTATACGCTCCTCGTCTCCGCCGCTTGAGCCAATGATAAAGCACTTTATGAATCCTTGAGCGTCGCCCAAACATCCATTAACCTCCGGCCCGTGGTGCGGAGGTGAGAGGCTTCTCACTGTCGCCATAAAATGGAGGTTACAACATATAATCATCATTACACATCTCCAACAGGTCACAGCCTGATAATTGCTGCTGCTGCTGCTGGTACTGCTGCTGATGATGATAAATGTGTTGTGTATATTCTCCTATAAACGTGTGGAGAAGTCATTCACAAACAGCTCAGAGGATATCCTGATTCATGAGAGACCCAAAGGGGTAAAGTATTCTGCAAAATCAGCATTTTTGATTGCAACTGCTCCTCATCAAACAGACCTGGAGATGTTTTTAGATCCACCCGGGCTAATATGGGGAACATCTGGCACCTACATGTAACTCCACCCCTTTTGTCTTAAAGCGTCATTCTCAGTCCTGTAATAGTACTGTTTTGGGCAGGTTAGGGTTAGGTGGTTGGATGAGTGGGTTCAATTCTATCTCCAGGGCTTTTCTGAGTTTGAATGTCCTCCCTGAAACTCTGCGCTCCTTGTCGATACCGGAGGGTTGAAGGACAGTGACATTTCTGGACAGGTCATTGTCCTCCTACGTATTGCAGTTCCTGTGTTGAAACTGTTTGATTCTCTTATACAGTATGTTGTTGAGGAATCCACAACTTTGTAAAGTCCTCATAGACGACTGCTGTTGTGATTTAGGGCAATACACAAATACATTGAATTGAATTGTATTCCTGGCATTTAATAGAGGAAAGTTGACAAATTATAAGACTGGGACAAGGAGAAGTTTCTTATTTTGCCCGTGCTGTAGGTTGAAGAACAAGAACCTTGGACAAAAACATCTTTATGGTGTTGATGTTTGTAAGTACACATAGGGAAAAGAACAAAAACACCCACATACAGAAGCTTTAAGTCTTTGGTTTTTGCAGAGCGGTTCTGAGTGGAAATAAGGGGATTAGAATGCACTGCCCTTCAGCCTCATATCAAATGCTCTGCAGCCGTTGGTTTGTGTTGTTTTGCTCAGAGTGTAACTGCCATGGCAAAGCAGACGAATGCTACTTCAACCAGACGGTGGCAGAGCTGTCTCTGAGCCTGGACACGCACGGAAAGTACAGAGGGGGCGGCGTCTGCATGGGCTGCCGTGACAACACCGACGGGATCAACTGTCGGAGCTGCAGACCTGGGTTCCACCGACCAGAAGAGGTGAGAGCCATTGCGGTGTGGGGACCAGGAAACATATTATAGTGTTATCTCTGACCAATGCTGATATTGAGATACTATTACCCTGTATGTTTAAGCATTAGTTTTGTTCAAAGTAAGAAAAACAGCCTACACAATCCCAACAGAGAGCAACCCCTCTGTGTGTCTGTGTGTATGTGCGCATATGTGTTTCTATATGTGTGCGTGTGTTAATTCACTTTTGTGATTCAGCCTTAAATATGATTTTAATATATGATTCACAGTGATAAATATAATAATGTTGATAATTGTCTCACTGTAAAAACCTCAATAAATATCTGAGAAATTAGAATAGTTTATCCACGATCATCATTATGACAAACACATGTTGCTGTGATGGGTCTGAGTCTGGTATAGGGCCTTTCTGAGAGGAGTTTGCATGTTCTCTCCATGATTTTCTAAGTTTTCCTCCAGGTGCTCCCTACCACTACAACATGTACAATAGGTAAAATCTTGCAGCTCTGGTCCTGACGAGCATCAACATCTGGAGATGGTCGCTGTTACTTTGGCGACAGATACTCATCTCTGCTTGAGCAAATAAACATTTACTGCCCATAACAAACTTTTTGAAGACTGGAGGTTAAGATATATAATTGGAGCTCAAGGAATATGACTTTATATGTTTAGTCACTTTAAACTGACCTCATAGATGGGTTCATTTTACAAGGTTTTTTGTTATATTATTAACAATAATATATTTGTGCTGTTCTCACCACGTGTTAGATATGGGTCTTGATTACTTACATATTGATTACATTAGCCTGTCCTCCTCAGAGTCCGAGTTGGTTCATATGGCACCATCATGTCTCAGATGTACTTTGGTGCAAGGCCATGAAGAGACTTGTATACATGCAAAGTTGCTTTAAATTCTATATTCTGAGCTACAGGAAACCAGTACAGAGACCTGAGAACTGGACTGATATGATCATACATCCTGGTTCTTGTCAGGGCTTGAGCTGCAGCGGTTTTGCTGCATGTTTGGAGAGACCAATGAGCAGGCAATTACAGTAGTGTAACCTACTGGAGACAAAAGCTTGGAGAAGACTATCCAGGCCTGCTTTAGACACTATATTTTAGAGAGAGAGAGAGAGAGAGAGAGAGATAGATGTCTGAGTTTAGCTGAAGAAATTTGTTTTGCATCCACTCAATGATCTGATGGATGCAGTGAAGGAGTGAGTCTACAGGTCAGTTTTCTCCTGCAGTCAGTGAAACATTGATCTGAGTGTTGTCTACGTTGTTGTGATTGGACATGTTGTTCCTGCACATTAACTGACCTAACGGAAGCATGTCGAGATTGAATAGAAGAGGTCCCAGGATCGATCCCTGTGGACCTCCACAGGTCAGGGTCATTTGATCTAGGACAATGGTTCTCAAACTTTTTACACCAGTACCACCTCAGAAAATACTTGCCTCTCCAAGTACCACCACAAATGACCAACACTATACAGTAGCGTAATATGCCTAAGTATTCATCAAAAAAACAAGGCAGAGGTTTCATTCCTAAAGAAGTGTATTTAATATTGTCAGCCATTGTAACATTTTACACAGTTTCAACACTAAAAACTGTACTTAAATAATGATTAAATAAAAATGTTTATTTACGAAGCCTTGACTCACCACTGTGAATTATATTCTGGAGTGGGGTGGCCTTCTTTGTCCACCAGAAGGGTTGGACTCCGGTACACTTCTGTTTATAAGGCTTGGTCTGTTGCCCTCTTACATCTGCCATTTACTCACACAGAGACATGTTCATATGGTTTGGATCCAATGATCTTTTGCTGCTCTCTGTTCCTTTTGCCCGCACAGAACAGGGAAAAAAAGCTTTTGTATATGCTGCTCCTTCTACATGGAACGTGTTGCAAAAAGACTGGAAATGATCTGGAAATTATCTTATTTTGATGATGATCTTATTTCGTTGAATGCTTTTAGATCAAGATTGAGAGCACTTGAGACATCCTCATTGAAATTTAACTGTTTTTATAATCCGTAATTTTATGAAATTGTATGTGACTGTTTTTATAATCTGTAATTGTACGGGACTGTTTTATAATCTGTAATTGCATGTAACTTTAGTCCAGGACTCCCATGAAAAAGAGGTTCATAATCTCAATGGGACTTTCCTGGTTAAATAAAGGTCAAAAAAAAAAAAGTTTCCAATCTCCACTTCCTGTTTTAAAGCATGTATGATAAATTATGATAAAAATTGATTAACTAGTTACTGAAGCTGAAGGCAGAACTGTATATGTAGTGCATGTACCGGTGTAACAGGCTATTTTAACCTCCTTTAGGCCAGATTAACCCCCGTCTTGTTTTTTTCAATTATAATAAAAAAAATGTGTTATTAAATATTTTTGTTGAACTTCAAAGGAGCAAGATGACGCAGTGTCATGGCGCCACAGTAAGAGTAATGGTGTGAACGAGATCTCAGAGAGTGAAAATCAATAAATTTTTCTGATGTTGTTTCTGTGAGCCCCGGATCTCCTCGGGGCTGTATTTTGAGTCCTTTGCTTTTTACATTGTACACTCATGATCGTGTCTCTTCCTCTGACTCTAACTTGATAATTAAATATGCTGATGACGCCACCATCATCGGCCTCATCAGTAATAATGATGAATCCTCTTACAGAGCAGAAATCGAAAATGTGGTTCAGTGGAGTAAGGCTAACAACCTCCAGCTGAATGCATACGAAACGAGTGAACTAGTCTTTGACTTTAGTCGTAACAGTTCTCACACGCTTGTTGTTATTGATAACCCCATGTGCAGATTGTAGAGGAGTGCAAGTTTCTCGGTTTAACTCAAAACACTAATCAGGTTGTTAAGAAAGCTCGTCACCGTCTCTACTTTCTGCGACAACGAGAATTTACCACTAACCCTTAGATTCTGTTTAACTTTTCTTGCTGCACCATTGACGGTTTGCTTGTTATTTAATGTAGCACTAAAGCTACAGGTAAATTATGCGTCAACGGTTGATCTACGCATAGAGTGCAGTCCTTTTGTTTCTGTAAATTGTTTTTATATTTAAATATACTTGTATTCAATATAAGGATTCCTTAAAAAAATTGCATATTGCTGTCAATCTATGTTTTGCTGCTGTAGGCCTTGTCCAAATGATGTGAGAAGTATGAATTGGAAACCACAACACAATTGTTTTGGAGTTTTATTGACGGTGGAACAATGCTTTTCTATTGCTTTTCTATTTTCATAAGCTACAATTATTACATTTGTCCACAAGATGTCAGTGTTACAAGCTAGTCTAAGCGGTCTGAGCTAGCTCAGAGGCTCAGACACATTTGAACCAATCTGACAAAGACAGCCTGACATAAGGACTGACATCTGCGGAGCTGTTCATCTGTTCTTCTTTATTTACTCTTTGTAATAGAAACAGGAGACATCAGAATCTGCCATGGGACTTGTATGTGTAGAATGGTACAGTACAGTACAGGAGTATTAGGACGTTGTTATAGTTTTATCAATACAAAATGGTATATCAGCATTTAGATATTGTTTTGCATAATCGCTTTCTTACAGTACTTTGTTTTATAGTATAGAATAGTTTATTTCATAAATCCTATATTTTCCCTGAATGCATTTTCTAAGAAATAAAGAAATTGATTGAATAGCACTTGTATTTTATTGTTATCATATAAAATGATTATACCCTGGGGAATAATCTGGCCCAGGCTACTTTATACCCGGGTATATTCTGGTGGGGAGTTAAACTGGCCTGCTACACCTGTAATAAACACAGAGGATAATCTATGGTTCTTATGTTTGTTCCCAGGTCGCCCCAGAGGAAGCCAGGCCCTGTGTGCCCTGCTCTTGTGACCCACAGGGCTCCCTCAGTCAGTGGTGTGTGCCAGATGTTTCCCAGGCCTCTCCTGGTACGCTACCATTCTACTTTCACTGCTTCTATAGTTAAATATACAGCTGCCATTCTGCTTTTTCTTCTGCTGCTGCAATTCTTCTTCTTTTTTTTTTTTTTCTATAAGATGTATACATCTTTGTGAAGCTATTTCCACAGGTGTAGAGCTGCTGTAGAGCCGCTGCAGAGCCGCTTTAGAGACACTTTAGAAACTCTTTAGAGAACCTTAAGAACTGCTGCAGAGCCCCTTTAGCGCTTCTGTAGTCATGTGCTGGCCAGTGTTTCTCAGGTGCTGTGTGTGTGTGATTGACAGAGAGGCCGCTGGGGTCGTGTCGGTGTAAGAAGGGTTTTGGAGGGCTGCACTGTGACAGGTGAGATACTGTATGTGGCTTAACCTTTAATCTTTCAGCTACTACTAAAAACATGCACACTAGGTTAAATCCTCCAGATCCAGTAGTCTTGACCAAGCCGAGCATCAACATCTGGAGATGGATTCCTGGGCGCTGTTACTACGGCAACCACTGCTCCTGACGTAAGCCTTAGCGGCATCAGGGTGGGTCAAATGCAGAGGATGAATTGCCCTACGGGGATCAATAAAGTCCACCTTTACCTTTACATTTACTGTCTGCTCCAGTTACAGACGGAGTGCATCCAGGAAACAACGTTAGCATCGGTGTGTGGGGACAGGGGGGCAGAGAGGACCGAGAGAACAGAGGAGACAGAGGAGACAGAGGAGCCGGAGAGGACAGAGAGGACAGAGGCAACAGGGAGGACACAGGAGACAGAGGAGACGGAGAAGACAGATGAGACAAAAAGAACAGAGGGAACAGAGAAGAGATAGGACAGAGTAGACAGAGAGGGCAGAGGGGACAAAGAAGAGATAGGACAGAGGGGGCAGAGAGAAAAGAGGAGACAAAGAGGACAGATTACAGAGGGGACAGAAAGGGAGATTTTACTGTGTGACTGTTACATACTATGCAATGCACGTGAAACAATATTTTAAGACAGAGCAGTTACTACATGTCAGAGTAGGGCTGCACGATATATCAAAACAGTAGCGTTATCGCAATATATATATATTTTAATAAAAATAACAAAATCCTTTAGGAAAGACAACAAAACAGACCGACACCTCAACATTCAACAAGAACAACAAACAAACAAAAAAGTATATAAATATATGCATTTGAATGTCATTAATGTTGTAAAATAAAATGCAATTTTAGGTGAAAGACAAAAATATCGCAATAATATTGTTATTGAAATACTAAACACTCATATTGAATATCGCTCTAATTTCCAATATCGTGCAGCCCTATCTCATATGTTCCCCATCACAGTACTAACCAGCTCCAGCTTGCCTTAGCAACCATCTTATTTACACATCTGCGGCTCCATGTATAAACCTCCTCTGCATTAAGGCTTACACTATGGTGATGTTATACATGGTCCGTCCACTTATAGTCTATGGTAAATAAAGTTCTCCAGTGACTTTATTTAAAATATATATTAGTCCATAACTAGAAAATATAATATATGTGATTTAGAGTACAACATAATCACCTGCTGCAGTATTCATGATATAAACATTTATAACTGATTCCACAGCCTTCTTTTATTCCCTGTGAGATTGAAAAAGACAGAATCTACAATACTGCAGGTGCGCTGGGTGATAACGGTCAGCATGTTCCAACACAATATAATTACAAATTAAGAGAAGAGGTAATAATCCCCAAAAAAATCAATATTTCCTGATTGAAAAGTAATAACCCACAGAAAACATGGTTGGGGTCACCACAGCCAATTATCTGAATCAATGTGAGGCCAATTCCCTGGTTCTTCTCCTCACCCTACTGTATCTATGAGGGAGCCCCACTCACTGGAGGAAACTTGTGGACCGCTTGTCTCCGCAATCTTGTCCTTTCGGGCATACCATGCGTATGACCCGAGGTGAGTGAAGGGATGTAGAGTTCTGACTGCAGACACTGCCCCCTAGTGACCAGAGGTGAGATAGGGGACGTAGTTAGGGTTGCCAACCGTCCCTTGAAATACGGAATTGTCCCGTATTATAGAAACACTATGTGCGTCCCGTATTGAACTGATACGGGACGGCTTTTGTCCCGAATTTTCAGAGCCACCTTAAATGCATCACTCACTCACTGCATGTCATACACGCGACACACACACACACAAAGTAATTAATAGTTACCTAATGTAACTAAAGTTCTACGAATAGGTGCGTAGTCCCTTAGGACTTCGCTAGTGGGATATCACTCGTGACCCCCAGGTCACACGCCAGAGAGATCAAAATAATTTGCTCCAATCACCAGCCACCCTCCTCTATAAATGCCCCTGCACAAGGCCGCACCCCCTCTTGAACTCTGCCAAGCCGGGCTGGGCTGATGGGCTCGTAGCTAAGGGACTACGCACCTATTCGTAGAACTTAAGTTACATTAGGTAACTATTAATTCTACGTCATGGTGCTACGTCCCTTAGGACTTCGCTAGTGGGACACAACGCGGAGGCCGTAGGAATATGTACTCCCAGCAGGCCAGCGAAGGGTGATTGGAGCTCCGCCCGAGCAAGACCCTCACACAGTGAGAGGACTCAGGGCAGAAGAAACAATGCGTGTTACAGGGCCACTCCTACCAAGGATACCCCCACGTAGCACAGATGTAGGTCATCCGTAGTCACAGGACGCCTCTCCCAAGGGCTCTTGACGTGGACTACCTGACCGACCAAAACACACATACATGTACCGCACCTGTAGGATGCCTCTCCCAAGAGCTCCTGAACCAGGGCGGAAAGTAAACCGAAGGCTCCCTCAGAGGAGGGACCTAACGGTCTAACTCAGTCCGCTGCACTCAGCACGGAATGGGCCACCGACCGGTCCGACACATCCAAAAATAAGACCGGACGAAAGAGGAGGACGAAGCCCAAGAAGCCGCACGGCATACGTCCTCGACCGACACCCCCCTGAGAAGGGCCGTAGAGGCCGCCATCCCACGCGTGGAATGCGACCTGAAGCCCACCGGGAGGGCCAGACCCTGCGTCTGATACGCCAGGGTCTGGCCCACGTCTCATGGCCAGGTAATGCCTCAGCATTCTGACAGGACACAGAAAGGTGCCGCCGCTCCTCCTCGGAGGAGGCATGCGGTGGCGGATAGAAAGCCCTAATCCTGATGACTCTCGACCTAAAGGCCGACGTGATGACCTTGGGGAGAAAGGCCGGATTGGGCCACAATACCACCATGCCGTCGCCCTCTCCAAAGACAGGCAAGACGCATGGACAGAGAGCACACACAAGTCGCCCGCCCTCTTAGCAGACGCCAACGCCAACAAGAGGGCCGTCTTAAAGCGACACACTCGGGACTCGCCTCCGCCGCCGGTTCAAAAGGCGGACCCAACAGCCCCCTAAGGACCACCCTGAGGTCCCAACCGGGGCGTTCTCTGGAGCGGGGGCCTCCTCCCGCGTGCCCCCCGCAGAAAACGTTTAACCAACGGATGAGAGCGGGCTGTGAACCCCCCGAATCCGTCGTGACCCGAAGTAATGGCTGCCGCGAACACCGCCAAGGCAGCGACAGCCCTCCCCCTGTCAAAGAGCTCCTGTAGGAATCCCAGGACCCCCTCCAGCGGGCAACGCCTGGGATCCCAGGAACGAAAACCGCACCAGTCGCTGAGGAGCCTCCACCTCGTGGCGTAGGCCCTCACAGTGGACGCCGCCCTCGCCCCCTGAGTGGTCTCCACCACCGCAGGGGGAAGACCCAGGTCTACGAGGTTCCGCCTCTCAGCCTCCAACCCAGAGCCTGCGGCCGATTATCGGGCGTGAAAACAGGGCTCCTCCCCCCTGGACTAGAGCCCCCGGCTCGTCCGGGAGGGCCCAGGGCTCCATCACCGCCATGCCCCTCAGGAAGGGGAACCACCGGGCATGCGGACTGTCCGGCGCCACCAGGATCACCGACCTCCTCTCCTGTTCGATCCTCCGCAGCAGGACCGGCAGGAGACGCACTGGTGGGAAAAGCGTACAGCAAGCCCCCTGGCCAGGGGTAATGAGCCAGAGCGTCCACGCCTAAGGGCGGCTGGTCCGCGGCCCTTGAGGCGAACCAGGACGGGCACTGTGCGTTTTCTGCACTGGCGAAAAGGTCGACCACTGGACGGCCGAACCTCCGCCAGATCTCCGCAGCCACCCCTGGGGCCAGGCCCCACTCGTCCTGGAGTGGGCCCCCCCCTGGACATCCTGTCGGCCCCCACGTTCCGGACCCCCGGGACGTGGCGCGCCCTGAGAGACAGGAGGTGAAGCGCCGCCCACAGCAGCGTCACCGTCGCCATGCGATGGAGAGCGGGGGACCTGGTGCCCCCCTGCCTGTTCAGATAGGAGACCACTGTGGTGTTGTCTGAGCGCACCATCACGTGTCTCCCTTGCAGCTGAGGAGCAGAGTGCAGCAGTACCCTGTGCACTGCCTCCATCTCCAGCAGGTTGATGTGACGGGCTGAGTCCGACCAGCAGCCTCCTACAGAACTCTGGCCGAGGACCCCGCCCCATCCTTCGAGCAACGCGTCCGTGAACACCTCCACGTGAGACACGGCGCAGGCCAGAGTCACTCCGTCCCGCAATAGACCCGGAGTGAGCCAGAACCTGATGTTCGATGCTGCCACTTCGATGCTGAGATCAGCCTCCCCCCGTCCCGGGAGGGGTGAAGCCTGAGGCGTGAGAACCACCTCTGAAAATTCCTCATGTGGAGAAGGCCTAGCCGCACCACAGCATGAGCCGCCGCCATCATTCCCAGCAGAGACCTGAGGCGCCGAGCGGGGACCCTGGGGCCCGCCAGAACCTCCCTGGGCAGACGGGTAGTGTTCATCCGTCTGTCCACGGACAATGCAGCACGGAATGTCACAGAGTCTAGCTGCAGGCCGAGATAGATCATGCGCTGAGCCGGTTGCAGCCTGCTTCTACGTCATGGTGCTACGTCCCTTAGCGGACTTCGCTAGTGGGATATCACGTGCACCTATTCGTAGAACTTAAGTTACATTAGGTAACTATTAATTTTCTCCCTGTTACCACAAAGCCCAGGCGCTGTATGTGGGACAGGACCCAGTGCGTGTGGCTCACGGCCACTTCCCTGGATGCGGCGAGAATTAACCAGTCGACTATGTAGGTTAAATTCTTACCCCTGCGTCTGAGCGGCTCCAGTGCTGCCTCCACTCATTTGGAAAAAGTCCGAGGCGCGAGTGCATCTGCCAGGTCTATGGATGTCATCCAGTCTCCCTCCCTGACACACTTGAGGAGCTGCTTTGTGGACAGCATCCGAAACTGCCGTTTGTAAATGCACTCGTTCAACACGCGCAGATCCAGAATGGGACGCACCCCGCCTGACTTCATTGGCACTAAGAAGTAAGGGGAGTACAGCCCCCCTGGTGGCGTCCTGCGGGTCTACCTCCACTGCTGCGCCTAGACTCAGCAGAGAGGAGACCTCCGTTTGCAGTGCCTCTATTGATCCCCGTACCTGAGAGCGTACTGCCCGTACGCCTCGGAATGGTGGTGGCTTTCGGAAGAATTGCAGTGCGTAACCGCAATGTTTTCTCCAGCCATATATCTGTCAGCCATCTTTGCTCCCTCCAGATGCTGTAGAAGTCTGTGAGGGGCGGAACGGGAGCTGAAACACGAGACGTCACGGCCCCGCCCTCTCCTGGTGTTCCTAGCAGGGAGGGGGGGTGGACGAAAGGGCCGGGGGGGCACCCTGCGTCACACCGTGAGCGCCGGGGGCGGTCACGTGTCCTGCAGGCCCGACGTCATAAGTACGGGACTGCTCATCCCACGTGACTCGGCTGCTGTGCCCCCCCCCTGGCTCTTGCCTCATGGAGGGGGGGGGGCGAACCCCTGGAGTGGGAAACCCCGTGTTAGCCTTGTAGCTCAGAGATGCTAACACGCGTCCGGCCGAAGCACACACATCATTACTCACCAGATCCCTCCGCCTGACCTCTCTCTGGGAGGGCATAGCATGGATCAGTGGACCGGAGCTCGTAGCTCGCGTAGTGCACTGCACGCCCTTCTCTGGGGCTGCAGGCCTAGCGAAGCAACGTTATGTGCCCGGGAAGTAACACAATCAGAATTCACAATATTTGACATGTTACATACCCCCAAATGAGACTCAGAAACAAGTAATGATGAAATGCCGGTCGGCCTTTATTGAAGGAAAAACTTTCCACCCCGGCCTCCTCTACCATAGGGAGGTCGGTGGTGGGTGCGTTGCTCCCGCGAGCCACCCATGGGTCTGTCTGGACCCGGGGGCCTCGTCGAGGGGGGACGATGGATAACAGAGCGCGGATACGGGTCAGGATGCCTCCCGGGCCAACGCTCTCTGCCTCTGTCCCGGCTCCGTAATGGTTGGTGGGCCTCTCGCCTCGGTGCTAGGTGCGGGGCTAGCCTAGCCGAGTCTTTAGCTGCAGACTCCAGTCTCGCCACCCAGGCCTGCATGTCCGGGCCGAAGAGGGACATCTGAGAGGTGGGCAGGTCCAGCAGCTGCCTCCTCTCCGCCTCCCTGATATTAGCCAGCCCAAGCCAAAGGTGCCTGGCCCGACTTGGGCTGCTGCCATGGAGCGGCCACCATCCACAGCTAGCGTCTGGCACATGCGCAGAGTCGCCGCCGAGGTGGTCCTCGCCTGTGACAGGAGGTCTCCACTGAGCGCCTGGCCAGAAGAGAGCGACATATCCAGGGCCCCCGTGATGAATGCCATGTTGTTAGTCAATGCGAAGACCTGTACTGCATTGGCATAACATCTATCCAGCATCGCCAAGACATCCTGTCCCGCTCGGAGGGAAGGAGAGGTCTGGTGCCGGGCCACACGAATGCGGAGGGCTGCAGGGCCATGCGGACTGAATCCTCGGTGTCCTGGCCACCATCCACGGCTAGCGTCTGGCACATGCGCAGGATCGCCGCCGAGGTGGTCCTCGCCTGTGACAGGAGGTCTCCACTGAGCGCCTGGCCAGAGGAGAGCGACCTATCCAGGGCCCCCGTGATGAAAGTCATGTTGTTAGCCAATGTGACGACCTGTGCCGCATTGGCATAATATCTATCCAGCATCGGCAAGACGTCCTGTCCCGCTCGGAGGGAAGGAGAGGTCTGGTGCCGGGCCACACGGATGCGGAGGGCTGCAGGGCCATGCGGACTGAATCCTCGATCACCGGTCCAGGACCAGTCCTGCCCGCTGCAGTACATGTCGTACCCCAGAGCAGGCCTCTTGGCTGCTAGGGGCTTAGGCCACTCACGTGTCGCGTAATGGACGAACGGGTCCATCCGCGGGCACAACGTGGGTTGCATCCTCCTCCTTCCTCGAGTGGTGGCACCCACAGAGGTGAAGACCTCCACCGTCTGGATCCAGTGACGACGTCCGACGCCGGAGGGCGAAGGGAACTCGGACGAACAAGGAAGACATCTCAGAATGAAGTAAGTACTGTGGTAGATCTCAAACGGCGCCAGAGTGAAAGAGGGGGTGCGGCCTTGTGCAGGGGCATTTATAGAGGAGGGTGGCTGGTGATTGGAGCAAATTATTTTGATCTCTCTGGCGTGTGACCTGGGGGTCACGAGTGATATCCCACTAGCGAAGTCCTAAGGGACGTAGCACCATGACGTAGAATGACAGTTTAAGCGTCTACCTTTCGGCCAATCAGTGTCAAAGGGGCGTAGGCTTGATCATATCAAGGGTTTAATGTTGACAATCGCCAGTGTGGGCCGTGCCCGCAGCACCATCACGGCAGAAGTTTGGTAAAGTAGCGTCGAATTCCCAGATTCGGACTTCTGCGGTCAATAGCTCACGAAAGTTACTTTGTTAAACAAAAGTTATTGTGCTAAAATGATCATTTCTACGTTGATTTTCCAAATCCAATTCGCTGTTTTAATGCAGAGAAATCCATTGAATCCAGTGCACTGCAAGCGCTGAGAAAAGCGCTTAGGGAGCGTCAACAAATGTCCAGACCAGCTTTGTAAACGAACAATAGCTTTTACTGAAGCCATGTACACGCACTCAGCTCTCAGACAATATAAATAATGGCCATATCTAACTGCTACAGACTTTGATTTCAACATTTGTGAGGTTTTTTTTAATGAATACATATGTTTTTCTTTATTTATTTGCTTTTACAGTAAATGGTCTTTACTGTAACATACATAAATAATGTATGTTACAACATATGTATTTTTTTATATTTTTTATTACTAATAAGAATGCATTACGTCCTTAACCAGCCAAAGAGTTCCACCTATTCATTAAATTTCAAATTTGACTAAGGATTTGTTATTTTTATATGTAGTCAATAAATGACATTTAATGAAATTCTAATTCTAATGAAATTCCATGATTACTTTGTAGATTGAAATTAGGACTAAACAGTGCTCAACGCGATCCACCCAAATGGTGTCCCTTATTTTTCTGTTCTCAACTTGGCAACCCTAGACGTAGTACTATGACTGCAGACGCTGCTCCCTTTTTCACCACAACAGTCCGATACAGCAGGACTTATCGCCGCAGAAGACTAGATTTACACCAAGGAACATACACCACCCCTAGCTTGGTTTAGATGACAACAGCACAGTTTGATTATTACTTGGCGTAATTTTCGCTTAACGTCTCATTCATTTGTAAATATATTTCCACAGAGACCCATGCTGCTTGTATGAGTGTCACCCCTTTATGCTGATCTCAGGGAATTTATTCAGGTCAGGTGGACAGGTCAGAACTGGTCCAGCCGTGTGTCTGTTGTGGCCTATCTTCCGTACTTTCATGTTTACAGTTTATTAAAGCCATTTGTCTTGTAGGTGTGCTGTGGGGTACAAAGACTTCCCGCTGTGTCTCCGTTGTAACTGCAGTTTAGAAGGAAGCACCAACGAGGACCCCTGCGAGTCTCCATGCGTATGCAAAGTATGTGCCACTCAACACACATCACACACAGTATACACTCAACACACATCATATCAGACTGAAGGTAAACCATGACATTCCCCTGATATCAAATCATCTCAAAGAGAGTGGATAGTTGTGGCTAGTAATCTTCTTAAAATTGTACTGAATTGGCGAAACACAGCACTTTTCATGCACAAGACAGTACGGCGCAAAACAACAAACGCAACTAACACCTGACCAGGGGCCACATTTAAAGTAGGCCCAAAGAGGAGCCAAAACTTGTAATCACGTTTTGTTATGCTATTATTAAACAAGAAGCCAGTAGGAGGCAAATCGAGAATGTTTAACTAAACCCAAGCTCATTAATTAAAGATGCTGTTTGATAACTACCCAAAGCAGTGTTGTTAATGAGTGAATCCAACGCAACACTATCTGTTATCTGTAGCCCTGTTTCCACCTGCTCTACTCTGCTCTACTCTAGAGTTTCCACCGGCCCTGTTTAACCTGTGCCAGGTCCTTCTTTAGTCCCTCTTGGTCTTATCCCTAATAAAAGCTGATCTGCATTATTAATATCTGAACTGAAATGATTTGTCATTAAATCAGTCTATGAGCTTCCGACAATAGATTTTACACATTTACACAGTTCTGTTGCCTCCAGTGTCCTCCAGTGCACAATGGGATGATGAGTTTTTAGAGATAAATCTTCAGTGTTCCTTGGGAAATACTAGTAAATTAGTAAATGTCCACCTGTTTAGGTTTCCAAAGCTCTACATAGTGTGAGATACACCATGTAGAGCTTTGGAATTGTCTATGAGTCTGATCTGGTCACAAACAAAACACAGGGACCGCAGTGGTGTCCGGGGGCAGATAAGGGTTAACTTGTCCATCTCTGTCATTGTATCACAACGCCATACTCTGACCCTGACACTAACTCTGACTCTCGGGGGCTTCTCTGTTTGTGTCCTGCAGGAGAACGTGGAGGGTTCCAATTGTGACCGCTGTAAACTGGGATTTTACAACCTCCAGCAACACGACGAGCGCGGCTGCGAGGAGTGCTCCTGTATGGGCGTGTCCAGCCACTGCTCCGCCTCCTCATGGAACTATCACAACGTAAGGTCAACAGAGACACGTGTGGGAGGAGCAGTCTGTGTGTGAGGGGCAGTATGTGTGAGAAGAGCAGTGTGTGAGAAGAGCAGTGTGTATGAGAGGAGCAGAGTGTGTGTGTGAGGAGTTACTGTGGCAGAAGGTGACAACAAGATAAGAGCATTAGTATTTTCTAAAGATCATTATAGAAGGTTTGGGTCAGGGTGTGGGTTTGTTAGATAATGTCTTTATTGAACAGTCATGTATCCAGCTCCTTTTGTGTTACTGGGTGGCGCGTGGCTAAGTCGATAGCACTCTCGCATCTCAGCAAGAAGGTCCTGGGTTTGAATCCTGGTCGTAACAGGACCTTTCTGAGTGGAGTTTTCCCCGTGTCTGCATAGGTTTCCTCCGGGGGCTCCGGTTTCCCCTACCACTAAAAACATGCACAATAGGTATGAGTGTAATGAGTGAATTAATGGATGGTGTTTGATTGGAGGCTTTGATGCTCCAGTGTGTTCGGCAACTCGCTTCCGTCATCACTGTGTGGGGACAGAATGAAAAATAACTGAACTATAAAACTTTTGTAATGCGCTTTGAGTGACCTTGGTCTCTAGAATGCGCTATATAAATAAACAATACTTACTTACTTACTATCACCTGCATCTCTCTTTTTGGCTCATGCTTATTGTACACTGTCCCTGTGGAAATGAATACCATATAATGTTTTCTAAGATACTACAACCACTAATTATATTCTTTCTGTTGGAATGAACAAAATGTACTCTTTATAGAGAAATAAATTACTTCAGCTTTAACATATAGTTTTAAATATTCACATCTGTAATAAAGAGGGGACAGAAAAAACCACTCTTACATCCACCATCATATACTGTATGTGTGAGCCTCCATAACCCTGTGTGGGGAGAGAATTGGAAAATATTGTAATTAGCTCGAAAACAATGTAAAACGCTTTGTATGACCTTGGACTGTAGAATGGGCTATATAAGGATAACTTCAGTTACTACTAACTGATTCATCCATGAGTCCCTGGATAACCAAATAGCTTTCATGTATTTTTATGTGACTGCAATTTTATAAATGAAAGACGAAAAAGATAAGTTAAGTTATAAGTTTAATAAATGTGTACTGCATTTGACCCGTCCTGTCAGGAGCAGTGGTCCCCGCCCCCGTAACAGGGACTATCTTCAGATGTTGATGCTCTTCAGGACCAGAGCTGGAGGATTTGATCAATTGTACATGTTTTTAGTGGTACCTGGAGGAAAACCTACACAGACACGAGGACAACATTCAAACTCCACTCAGAAAGGCCCTGTTCTGACCGAGATTTAATTGGAAAACCATGTACAATAGTGTCCTCTCTCTGGGGCCAGGACTCCCCTGAAAATGACCTTCTAAAACCTCTTTGGAACTTTCCCGCTTAAATGCGCCATATTTTGCTTTTCTTTATTTGTCACAGTTCATCCTATGCACTTGTGTGACAAAAATTTGGGTGATACACCATACAACACTCAAATCTTGTCAAATTAAAGCCATTTCGTGCATAGAGCCTTTATTGGAACCAGCTTTCGCTGTTACATAGTCATTTCAGACCTAAGAGTGACCTTTTTCCAACAATAGCACACCGTCACATAGAGCCCTATTTCCTCCATCCAAAATCAGACCTTAATAATTTAATTACCAGTAATATACGGCGAGTAAATTGCCATATATCACTGTACGGCAAAAATATAAACTGCGTTTTCATTGAGCATCATATAAATCACAGCTCATGATGAGGACCCTCATTGTGTTTCTTAATTTTTAAATCTGACTTGTGTGTGTATTATTTTCATCTGTATGTTTTTTTAAATGTGAAGTGCTTTGAGATCCTGGTCTGTGAAAAGCGCTTTACAAATACACTTGACTTAATAACTTAGGCAACAGGGATGTGTGACCAATCTATTGCTTTGTAAATCTGTGGCAGGCCCTGCACTGCGTAATTACGCATGGATATTTGATTTGCCTCATTCATATCTGGCAAAGCAATGTATTTTTTCATTAGTTTTGTGCTTAAAACCGATGGTCTTGCTCACTCAAAGCTGTCTCAGCCACTGCCCTGCCCTCCGCACGTAGCAGTTTATAGATAGGATGCAACTCGCTTATGTGTGGGAATGGGCTCAAGGGCAGTGGCTCTTTGGGCAGAGCGCTGCGGGTGCCCACGACATGTCCCACTGCATCTCTCCTCAAATGCGGTGCGCATCTTTCAGACGTTTAGGATCCAGAGTTCCTCTATGAAATCACGGACACTTCCCAAACTCATATACACATCCGTTCTCTCTCACAGAGATCGCTCCATTGCATTCACAAGAAGATGTTGCAGATGCTTCATCCGGTTAATGATGAGAGCCACCGATGAGGCCAAGATATTGATATTCATTCATTCATTATTTATTTATTTACTTCTAAAGTTGAAGAGGGATGAGTGCTGCAGTGGGTCTAGGCAGGGAAAAAATGCGTATATATAATATAGAGTGTATTTCTTTTTAAACAAACATGAGGCTTCCAAACAGTGTTCCTCTGGCCGACTTCCATGCTGATCTGTCGTAAAAAAGGGGCGTGAAGCAGGCGGTTTCTGAATATTTATAGGCGTGACTTTCATAAATACGCTATAGTTTTCAGCGCGGTGCGTAGGCTCAGATCTGGGCGTATCTCACACGTTCATAAATCCCACGTTGGATCTTGCGTATTTGGAATCTACACCAAAAATATACACCCTTTTCTAGACTGTGCTGATTCGCTGATTCACTTTCGCCCCGCTGTCAGTCAACTTTTGGAGGCGGGCTTGTGACTTCACGGCTTGGTTCACGTCACGGTTTGAAACTATGCCGGAAATGAAAGAGAAAGATCGCTCTCTTTCTAAAGCCTGGTTCACACGAGACGATTTTAAAATTGTCGGCCGATTTTTCAAAAATCACGGGTCTAACCACTTTGGTCGTACAGTGTGTGGTGCGCAGCCACACGGCAAAATCACGCAAACCACACACGAACCGATTTCACCCCCGAGCATTCACAGGTCAGACGGAAATCTCACAACATCTCTCGAGATCAAGCGTGGCCTCTCCGCTTCACCTAGCCTATAGAGACTCTCGTCTGACCACAGCAGCAACAGACACCATGAGGAAAAACACATACATGTGGATTATAATGCTCTACAGTTCTCTGGCCGGTACTGTCTGTGCTGTTCAACAATACAGTTTGTGCGGACTACTTGTGAACGCACCACACACAGTGCTAGACATGAAACTTTACATATGCGCAAACCAACAAGCACGGCTGCATTAACGGCTGCATCAACACGTCTGTACTGTATGAGGACAGAGTGCAAAGTAAACGTACAAACACAACCCATCAGTCTGATCATTTAGTACTAATCCCGTCCGAATAGGGCTTATGCCAACACTACCTGTGCAGCAGCAATTTCTGCCCAATTCCTCTCCTTTCATTTCGGTGATGATATTCTTTACACAACACGTCATACCTACATACACGGTGTTGCCAGAGGTCAACTAGTTGTTCCTCCATCTCTGATGTCCACCAAACTTTCTGGTGCGCCATGCCGCTGACGTTTTTTTTTTTTTTTTATGGTGTTTCCTTGCCGCCTCGTCTCGTCTTCTGATTGTCTACACGCCGCAGTCATGGCAACGCGCTCGTCTGTCCTCGGGGGACACCACACACGAAACAATCCAACATGTTGGATATCCCCGATATTGAGATCAGAGCAGTTTGGAAGTCCTTCCGAGCGACGAGCACAGTCTTAACACACCACACACGGCAGGAAAATCCATCAGATTTTTTTATTACGATATTCGGAGCGTTCTTACGATTGTCGTCGGGTCCAAAATCGGCCTAATTATCTTGCCGTGTGAACCAGGCTTAAAGCTTGAGGGAATAAATCTTAACCTACTCAGGCCATGTGTATGAAATAGCACTGTAATCATGTTTAAATATAAGCTGAGAAATAAAAGATATAATCTATCTGAGGAGTGAGAGGGCTAAACACTCAGCCACGGTGCCGCTCCAGGCAGGGGTAGCAACATTTCCTCCCCTTTCTCCTGAATTACATGAATGAGTTTTCTGATTGGGCTTCTACTGTGTCATACTATCATTATTATTATTATTATCATCATTATTAATATTATTATAATTATATGTTTATTTGATGAACAAGAAGCATTGTTACAGGTAAGCGATGCCATGTTCGTAGGCCATATAGCTAAAAGCTTATTTGCTGACCTGATACATTTTCCAATCGGAGTAAATATTGTGTTTCCTGGTTTCATCACTAATGGAAACTCTACAGCAGGGACACCAGCTCTGCTTTAACAGAACTGCCAGACAAGGGAAACTCCAGAGGGCTGTTTGTGAGGTTTCTGCTGTCTCATCAATCCTTACTGTGCAAACTATGGCTGTAACCCCACTATCACAGCCTCGTTCATATTTCAGATACACTGATATCAAAATACAGGGAGTTTTAAACACTCAGCACTTGGCACAGGACATACTGTCTCTGTCAATATACACCATTCTGTCTGGAGGCGTTAGCGTGAACTGGCAACTCTCAAAGTATTTTCATATACAGTAGAAGCGGCAGAGTTGAGAGGACCAATAATTTAACAGTTGTGAAATGATCCGAAAACGCCGATTTAACCCTAACCCTGACACTGCCCCTAACCCTAATCCCTAAAATGATTGGTATTGTGATTTATTTGTGATAAAGTGATCATTTCAGAAATCTCCATACCAGACTCACATAGTTCAACCTGGAGAGACTACAAGAGACGAGATGCGTTTAAGAGTTGTTTATTTTATGGATCGAGTTTGTTTATTGGTTTGGAGCTTAGGCCCCGGCTGTGGCCGTGCTCTGAAGAGATCTGCGCCTGGGTGCAGATCATGATCCCCAAAAAGAGAGCTTGGCTAGCGATGCGTTTGCCATGACTTGGTTGCTGCGTTTTATGGAAGGCGCATGG